GGTACGCCTATGAACCCGGGTCTCCAAGCTTGAAAGGCAAGCGTAGTGACCACGAGACTATACAAGTACTGGTTCTAGTTGTTCAGTTGTAGAGCTCTAACCACAAATTCGAGCTCGGATCCCTTTAAAACGAACCATTATTTAAAAAAATTGTTAAAAAATCAACAAACCTTTTATTTTCCCTTGGATAGTTCGTCAAGTTAAAACTAGTGTAGTAATCTTTAAACTCCTGCGCCGTATCTCCTTTCCTCATCATGATTGTCAACGCCCCGAGTGCTGGTTCTGCCTCTTTTCCTACAAACTCAAGTCCGTTGCCCCAACCATCGCTACCAATCCATGTAAAACGCCTCGGTGCAACAGCGTTGTACTTTAAGGTTGCATTCAATAAACGACGTATGATTGTCTGTGTCCCAAATATCACAATCACAGACACTTTGCTGTGTTTAGCTCTGTTGTATATCCTCAGTATAGTTTCTTCATATTCCAAATCCGTTGGGAAGGCTTTCATACGCTCTTTGACATCAATGCATATACCTATTGAAAAAGTATCACGGTTAGAGCTCGACAATTTGGAATCAAATACCGGAAGACATAAGAACTTCGCCAACTTATGATTTGTTTTGTGAAAAGCTTTCTTCCTTCGACCTTTTCATTTAACAACCATCATGCTTAAATTATGCTAGTAATATTCTTAGATTTCTTTACTAATTTATAGTACTATTAGTTAACAAATTCATAATATTTATATAATTTATGAAATCAGTAATGAACATACTGCACATCATAGATAAGTTGCGGGGGAAGGGATTTATTATATTTTTGTAAATCATAGTGGTATACACACCTTTTGGAAACCAGCATTAGCTGAAAAGATTAGTGTGTTTTAACTAAAGTTGATCTATATCCATCCATTACTAATAGGCCAAAAAAATATGTGGGTTTCCGGTTTCCCGACCCTACCTAGCTTTTGGACGCCGAAATCCCGACCCTAAACTTTTTTTCGATCATGCTTGTAAGTGTTTCCACTTAGAGGAAAACGTTTGTGAAAAATGGAAATTTGAGGCAATATTAGGGAAATTTATCTTTGAATGTGGAAGCACTGACTAAACAAAATGGCGTCCGGTTGTTAGGAAAATTTAAAAAAAAAGATTAAAAAAAAAGTCAAAACCGACCTACCCTACCTAAGTTTTTACAAGAAGAAACCGGAAACCCACATATTTTTTTTGGCCTTACCGTTGCTTTTGGCCGCCCTCCAGAATTCTTCCATTCCTTTGGTACCGTAAGCACCATACACGTTCACAGTCGAGACATAATTCCAGCCGAACTTCTTACAAAGGTCCACAATCGTTTGAGCTTGAAAAGAATCCGGCGGAACGGTCCTCAAAAAATAACTATAGATGTCTTTGTTACTTAAACTTATGCTGGTAGAATCGTAACTGATTTGTGGGATTTCAAAAACACGAAGAAAGTTGGCAACCGTTTCGGTGACTTCGCTTCCCGAAGCGCCTACAACTCCAGCTAGTTGGGCTTTTGTGTCCTTTACCAAAGTCATTTTGATAAACTCTTTGGCGGCATTGGCCGCGATAGTTTTGCTCTGGCACGAATCGTGTATTCGAGCCCCAAGGGTGATGTTCGGTAAGAGTTTTGGATCGGCATTCACTTGTTTTATCGCAAACAGCATTACTTCAATGAACTGGTACCCTGCGATTTCATCAAATACTCCGCAAGTGTTTTCAGTTTCGTCGCTCTTTAGATGGACTGGGAATAACCCACCTAAGATAATATCACCTTCCATTTCAATCTCACCTTAAATGAGAAATCTTGCAACATCAGCTTTTGTTACATTGCCATTCAATGCAGAGCGGGCAATCAGAAAAAACTATAGGCAAGGAGATGCAAATATAAATCACCACAGCTATAGAAAGAACACACTAAAATGAGTAAAATTGCAAAGTTTGGTTGCGAAATGTTGTAAAATGCGGAAAATATATAGCCCTGCAAAGTTTTGTATACTTTTGTGTTGCGTGCGGAAATTGCTACCACATTCCTACCACATTTGGGCCGAAAATGGTATATAGCAATTTCCGCACGCAATATACAGAAGTATACAAAATTCGCAAACTTTGCAAGACTATATTTTCTACATTTTACAACATTTCACAACCAAACTTTGCATTTTTACTCATTTTAGTATGCTTTTTCTAGTTGTGGTGATCTCCTTGCCTAGTTTTAAAATTATAGTCTATATAGTGGGAATTGTCTATTGGACGCCAACGAGCTTCATATATATATATCATTGAGAACTCGAGTCCAAGAAGTGAATGAAGCCAAGTTCAATGACTGAAGTTCTTCCCCCAGATTGCTCGATATCATATAGATCGAGCAGAAATAATCGTTTTATCTCAAAAGGTTGCCACAGCAGTCTGTTTCATCCGAGAGGAATCATCAGGTAACTCACCTGATGATTCCTCTTGGATGAAACAGACTGTTGTGGCAACGTTTTGAGGTAAGACGATAATTTATATATATATAAATTTATACATGGGCCCGGATTTTATTCCCGCATGACAGAGGTCCAAAAAGTCCAACCTTGACGTAATGTGAAATTCCCTCGTACAACCCATTATACAAACCTGTTTCGTTTGAAAATGTCCCCGTACAGAACCCAACAAGAAATACGTTCATAATTTGAAAGATCAACATTGCTTGTCTTCTATATACGACGGCCCAAATTCTATATTTTTTCTGACGATTGTCATTTGCCGGCAAATTTAATACTCACAGTTGGCTGGCAAAACTAACTCTAACTGATTCTTACAGTTAAGATGTCATATATATGAAGTCATTAATAATTGATGAAAAAAACCCAAACAAATTAGAAACCCAGCATGCACCAGCGTCTTGATATACATGATGTATATAAAAAAGATAATCCAACTTTAGCATAGTCACGTGCATTACACATTAAGTTTATCGACCAAAATTTTTCGCAGCAAGAAAATTCAGACTTTTAGCTGTCCAAATGATACTTTTTGTAATAGTAAAGGAAAATGACCAAAATGCCTATCGCGAAATCGCATTTTTTTCGGCGTTATAGAAATTGGGAGGAACACTATATTGAAAATAAATTTCATTTGTATCTGAAAATTTTAATTTAAAAAGCCCTAACATGCGATCAATTCCTCTTTTTTATTAATTTTAAGCAAATTGTTTGGCACGACACATTAGTGTTTAATTGCTTTTTCTTTTATTATTGCATGTATACACTGCTTTAATAATGCACAAAGGTGGAAAAATGATTGTAATTTGGTCATTTTTGTTTGAATTGATATACAAAAAAGGTGTCGGTCAAAAGACAAAACTCAAAAGCTAAAACCCTTATCTTGATTAAGCCTGTTTTCCACTTTAACCATATCGTAGCATTTTCTTTTGTATCGAAGTCATTAGTTCCACACATAGATATCTTATGTACACTAGATAGCGCATCTCTTTTAGTAAAATTGAAGCCAAGAATATTCCAGCGGTTACCCCCATTTGAATAGATGGCGGCCATGTTGGAGTTTCCCACTCGCTAATAAACGCTTAAAAAACAACAATAACTTTCATCATTTGAATAGTTTAAAAATGTATTTGGAATAGGTTTAACTTAATGTTTAAGTTCCCTGTTTAAGAAATAGAAAACATACGAGTCTTCTCATTTCATGGGAATATCCTGAGACTGCAATCACGGCTTCGATTTTTGAATTGCAGAATAATTAGATGCACTATCTAGTGTATATAAGATATCTATAGTTCCACACTACCGCTCAGGAAACAAAGAAATACGCTACGTTTCGGTACGATTCGGTTGAAGTGAAAAACTGGCTTTACTTGTGAAAAACTAAATCCGTGTACTCAATATTGAGAACACAAAGGCACTCAAATTTTAGATTACCTTTTTGTATGCGCCCTGTATGCTAATAAACTTCTATATGAGGTCAGAGGCGTGGGGTGATTTTGATGTATTGAAATAAGTCACAGTTCACAATCCAGCAAAACTGCATTATTTTTCTAGTGATAGTCAGATAGATTATATAGTATATAATTGGTATTATATGAGTCGATCCTTACGCTTTAAACATACAGTTTTTGTAGTTTTAGATTACAATATGTTATAAACTTCTCGCGTCACATGCATACATGTATATTGCATTAAATATTAATGTTTAATAAAGTTTACACGTCTTGTGTAATGAACACATTCAGCACCGAAATATTACTTCTCGCACACTTTTGTTATATAAATAATGAAGTGCAGCGCTGATTAAAATGTATAACATTTTTAATTTTCCCAAGAAATGCTATTCATGATGTTAAAATTGAAATCGGATTTTATTCATTGATTAAAAATACTTTGCAAGAAAGACAATATTTTTATATTTTTAGTTGAATCTTTAACGTTTTATTTCACTGTATGAAAGGGTGTTCTTGTGTCCCATAAACATATATTGGGATGAGAATTGTTCAAAATCCTTTTGGCGTATTTCTCCAAATCTCTTTCTTTTTAACTTTATTTGCTTGTTAATACAGTTAGCTCCCTTTTTTAATGCATCTCGCGGTTAAGAAGCATAAAATATTGTAACGAAAAAATTATACCGTTAAAAGGTATTATCGCAAGGAAGAACTTGTATATCCACAGTAAATAAAGTTACTTTAGTTTAGGTGTCCTCCTGCATGGGACCGGTTGTTCAAAGCTGGACTAGCGCTAACTCTGGGTTAAAATTTAACCTGCTGTTTTAGTTTGTGCATTTCAACACGTCCGTTTATTTCAAAACTTCAGAGAAGTAAACTCCTATCGATCCATGCAGACAAGATCTCTGAAGAAATATTTCCAAATTTATAGACAATTGATGATTCCCCTATTACGTTTTCGTAGCGCTTTGCTATTCAAGATGGCTCAAGTTGATTATTTCTTATTCTTACCCGTGCAAGAACTTTTAAAAAAAGCAGGAAAGCTAGGGTCAGGTGCGCGATAGCCAACAGCAAAATATTCGCGAAAACATTCAATATTTTCATTCGAGGCCGCTTACTTTTATCAGTGATACCACTATAACCACAATGCAAAGCGCTACAAAAACGTAATAAGGGGAATCGTCAATTGCAAGCTGTCAGGAAGTTTGCTTTGAATTTTAGGTTTTAACCTAGGGTTAAGCTAACCCAGCTTTGAACAACTGGCCCCTGTAGTAACACTGGATCAATAGGGAGCGGCCTTACTGCATGGACCTCTATAGGGAGAACAGTTTAGAGCTGATGTAGCTGGAGCTATCCACAACAAATAAAGTTAATTTGGTTTTGAATATATTGTGATCAACTTTGGACTGATATTACATATTTTTTTCTGCTTATAGAAAAGTGAGGCATCGTATGGCGAACTCTTTGGCGATGTGTCCCAGGATCTTTCACTACTTTTCAGAAAGTCGTTTGAATTGCAAAAGGTAAAAGAAGGGACGAGTATAGAATTATTAATTTAATACTAAAGCTGGAGTAATACGAGCAACAAAATTGCTGCAACTTGCAACAAAATCTGATTTCAACGCATGTTAATTGAAAATGTTGACACATGTTGCCTCGTGATTTGTAATTTATGTGTAAACATTTTCAATTAACATGCGTAGAATCAGATTTTGTTGCAAGTTGCAGCAATTTTGTTGACCGTATTACTCTACCTTAAGAAAGCTTCGGATTGATAGGGATACAACTACTTGAAAAATACAAGGAGAACTTCGACGTTTCGAGCGATGGCCCTTCCGGCTTCAAGCGAAGTGTCTTCGCTCCAAACGTCGAAGTTCTCCTTGTTTAGTTCCCCTCGACGAGTGGGTGGGGAGCGACTTTTCAGAGGTGCTGCAAAAAATGTCAGGGGAGGTGCAAAACGATCCCAGGATAGGTGGGCACCTCCACACTTCCCCTCAAAATCCGGCCATGGAAATAAGAAGCAGTTTCTTTTGTCACAGTTACTTCTGGAACTGATGTGCATGAAGACAGAGGCGCTTGCCAACTCGTGCTCGGAGAAAGATTTACACAACATTACGTCAGGTATGGCTAGGATATTCTGTAATTCACGAGGCTTTTGTCCAATCCATCACGAGATCGACGAGAAAATCTGACAAAATGGTATACTGTATGGGCATGCTCATGAGCATGCTGACATATACATACTATAATTCGGTATGTTCATGAGCATGCTCATTTACATACCAAAATCCTGTATATACTCACGAGCATACTCATATAGGCTACATACCAAAATCCGGTATATACTCATAAATCTCATAAATCTCATATACTCAAAAAAATCTCGTATACATACCAAAATCCAGTATACTCATGAGCATACTCATACATACCAAAATCCGTACCAAAATACATTGTATAAATAATTTAATCAAATTGTAGTCCTAATTATTGTGCAACCTTTTACAGTATGTGAGAATCTCTTGGATATATGTGAAATCACTGAACGTTTTGATGGAAACATGACGCCTGGAATGTGGAAATCATTGATGAGGTAAAATGTATACAATCATAAGGGAGTTTTTCACAGCTACCATGCATTACAGTTTTCTCACGTGGGAGGGATGGAGGCAATCAAAATGAGGTTTTATCTTATTAGACTGCGACTAACTAGTTAAATATGATTTTTTGTATGTGTAATATTTGTATCATTCTATAAGTAGAAATGTAATACTTGTTCAAGAAAAAAATCTCATCTTGAAAAAGTCTCATCTTTTTCACTGTCAAAGTTTCCAGATATGATATCATTACAGAATTGCGAATTAGTTTTCCTTTGTTTTTTTCGCTCCAAAAATTCATCTGAAGACATCATATCTGGAAACCTTGACGGTAAAAAAAATCACCAAGGCGAGGTTTTTACCATAAAAACATTACATTTCTTCTCAGAATGACCCAGATATTACACATACCAAAAATTTTATTTGGAATTGGTCGCACTTTAATGGAGACATGTGACAGTTCTTCTTTAACGGGATTCTTGTTTTGCTTTGTTGTACAGTTTATAAATCCTGCTGTTTTCCTACTCTATTTTCCATCAGATTGGTAATGAGGAACAAGGATGTCATCAAAAATCATCTTCAGGTATAGCTGATAAATTTTGTTTTACTAAACATGGACCCCTTCCTGGATCAATTATGACTATACATTGCTATGTAGCTTAGACTTTATTCTTGAAATTAATATAATTGTTTTAGAGCCTTGAAATCAATATTATTGTTTTAGAGCGACAGACTTGTGTCCCAGATGTGTTTCACACTCGAAAGGAAACTTCAAAATTATGAAAATCTTATCAACACTAAAGATAGCACAGAGCTTCACTCGACTGTAAATATATTTCTTTAATATTATTATTGCATTGTGGGCAGTGTTGTTTGGGCAGACCTATGTTCATGTTCCAGATCTGCAAACAAGTTGTAACAAGGTTGTTGTCAAGCCGATATCAGGATGTGTTCGCACTACTTGTTCCCAGTTGTTGTGACCAGTCTGGAACAAGTTGTTATCACCTTGTTACAAGATTTGATGGTGGTAACAGACTTACTATTCCAAGTTGTTCCAACAAGAATAATACAGGCTGTTCGTAACAAGTTGCTACGAGCTTGTAGCCATCAACTTGTTACGTGCAGACGATACCAGTACTGTTGGAATAACTTGTTGCGAGTCTGTTGCCCTGATCAACCTTGTTACAAGATGATAGCAACTTGTTCCAGACTTGTCAACAACTGCAGGGAAATGTGAGCTCGTGATGACGGCAATACAAAAATTGGCGGTAAAGATGGTGCAGCATAATATAATAGTATGCAATTTTTGCAGAATAAGCATGTTTATCTTTTTTGTAGAATGAATCATTATCTTCAAAGTTATTAAAGGTGTTGAAGTTTTTGATCAAGCTTTTGATAAGTTTTGTCCAGGTACGTTAATTGTTAATGTTATAAAACCTTGAATTCAAGTCGAAGAAAAATTGCCTCGTATAACATGACCTTAAATGTTTATGGTGTTACTCTGAGTGTGCATCCACACCGGGCAAGCTGAAAAGTTTGCCAACGGTGGGAATCGAACCCGCGACCTTTGGAATACTATGTAGTCCAATGCTCTTTGGTTCGATTCCCACCGTGGTCAGGCAAACTTTTCAGCTTGCTCGGTGTGGATGCACACTCAGAGTAACACCACAAACATATTCATCTGAGTACATACTGTAAGACCGTGAACACACACAAAAAGTATGGCTTTAAATGTTTTGTAGAGTTTTCAAGATTTTCTTCTTGCGTCTACATTCAAGGATATCATTACGCTCATCTATTCAGTAATCAGGTAAACTTGTGCGTGATTATTAAAGAAAGTGATTGAATGGTTGCTAACCAAATCAGATGTCATTATTTTGAGAAATATTGGTTGTATTTTGGCTCAAAATTGCTTTTTCCATCTTGCAGTGTATCTTTTAAAAGATTGACTAAACAATCAACTGGATCAACAGCTACAGGAGATAATAGCGCCTCGCTTATTATTATTGTAAGTTCACTTTTAAAGTTCATTTACGTGTTTTGTAAGTTCACTTTTAAAGTTCATTTACGTGTTTTTCACAACTTGTTAACAAGCTTGCTACAAGCCTGTTGCTAAACGTGTCGTTAACAAGTTGTTGGAACAGCATTGGTCACAACTTGTTAACAAGCTTGCTACAAACCTGTTGCTAAACGTCTTGTTGACAAGTTGTTGGAACAGCATTGTCACAACTTGTTAACAAGCTTGCTACAAGCCTGTTGCTGAAAGTCTTGTTGACAAGTTGTTGGAATAGCATTGTCACAACTTGTTAACAAGCTTGCTACAAACCTGTTGCTAAACGTCTTGTTGACAAGTTGTTGGAAAAGTATTGTCACAACTTGCTAACAAGCTTGCTACAAGCCTGTTGCTAAACGTCTTGTTGACAAGTTGTTGGAACAGTATTGTCACAACTTGTTAACAAGCTTGCTACAAGCCTGTTGCTAAAAGTCTTGTTGACTATACAATTACTTTATGGTTTCCCTGTTTGGATGGAATGATCCAAACACTTGGGAATGTTGCTCGAGTTAAGAAAAGCGGGCAAAATCACTCGCCTTCGGCTCGTGATTTCGCTCGCTTTTCTTAACCCTCGCAACATTCCCGCGTGTTTGGATCAGGCCATCCAAACACGGAAACCATAAAGTAATTGTATAGTCAACAAGACTTTTAGCAACAGGCTTGTAGCAAGCTTGTTAGCAAGTTGTGACAATACTGTTCCAACAACTTGTCAACAAGAATTTTAGAAACAGGCTTGTTGCAAGCTTGTTAGCAAGTTGTGACAATACTGTTCCAACAACTTGTCAACAAGAATTTTAGAAACAGGCTTGTACCAATCTTGTTAGCAAGTTGTGACAATACTGTCCCAACAACTTGCCAACAAGACGTTTAGCAACAGGCTTGTAGCAAGTTTGTTAACAACTTGTGACAATGCTGTTCCAACAACTTGTCTCCGCAACAGGCTTGTAGCAAGCTTGTTAACAAGTTGTGAAAATGCTGTTCCAACAACTTGTCAACAAGACTTTTAGCAACAGCCTTGTAGCAAGCTTGTTAACAAGTTGTAACAATACTGTTCCAACAACTTGTCAACAAGAATTTTAGAAACAGGCTTGTACCAAGCTTGTTAACAAGTTGTGACAATACTGTTCCAACAACTTGTCAACAAGACGTTTAGCAACAGGCTTGTAGCAAGCTTGTTAACAAGTTGTGACAACGCTGTTCCAACAACTTGTCAACAAGACTTTTAGCAACAGGCTTGTAGCAAGCTTGTTAGCAAGTTGTGCCAATACTGTTCCAACAACTTGTCAGCACGACTTTTAGCAACAGGCTTGTAGCAAGCTTGTTAACAAGTTGTAACAATGCTGTTCCAACAACTTGTCAACAAGACGTTTAGCAACAGGCTTGTACCAAGTGTACTGGCATAAAGGGTTTTGGAACAGCATTGTTACAACTTGTTAAGAAGCTTGCTACAAGCCTGTTGCTAAAAGTCTTGTTGACAAGTTTTTGGAACAGCATTGTTACAACTTGTTAACAAGCTGCTTGCTACAAGCCTATTGCTAAAAGTCTTGTTGACAAGTTTTTGGAACAGCATTGTTACAACTTGTTAACAAGCTTGCTACAAGCCTGTTGTGGAGACAAGTTGTTTGGGACAGCATTGTCACAAATTGTTAACAAACTTGCTACAAGCCTGTTGCTAAAAGTCGTGTTGACAAGTTGTTGGAACAGTATTGTCACAACTTGCTAACAAGATTGGTACAAGCCTGTTGCTAAAATTCTTGTTCACAAGTTGTTGGAACAGTATTGTCACAACTTGCTAACAAGCTTGCTACAAGCCTGTTGCTAAAAGTCTTGTTGACAGCTTTTTGGAACAGCATTGTTACAACTTGTTAACAAGCTTGCTACAAGCCTGTTGCTAAAAGTCTTGTTGACAAGTTGTTGGAACAGCATTGTCACAACTTGCTAATAAGCTTGCTACAAGCCTGTTGCTAAAAGTCTTGTTGACAAGTTGTTGGAACAGTGTTGTCACAACTTGCTAACAAGCTTGCTACAAGCCTGTTGTGGAGACAAGTTGTTTGGGACAGCATTGTCACAAATTGTTAACAAACTTGCTACAAGCCTGTTGCTAAAAGTCTTGTTGACAAATTGTTCGAACAGCATTGTCACAACTTGCTAACAAGCTTGCTACAAGCCTGTTGCTAAATATCTTGTTGATAAGTTGTTGGAATAGCATTATCACAACTTGTTAACAAGCTTGCAACAAGCCTGTTGCTAAAATTCTTGTTGACAAGTTGTTGGAACAGTATTGTCACAACTTGCTAACAAGCTTGCTACAAGCCTGTTGCTAAAAGTCTTGTTGACAAGTTTTTGGAACAGCATTGTTACAACTTGTTAACAAGCTTGCTACAAGCCTATTGCTAAAAGTCTTGTTGACAAGTTTTTGGAACAGCATTGTTACAACTTGTTAACAAGCTTGCTACAAGCCTGTTGTGGAGACAAGTTGTTTGGGACAGCATTGTCACAAATTGTTAACAAACTTGCTACAAGCCTGTTGCTAAAAGTCTTGTTGACAAGTTGTTTGAACAGTTTTGGCACAACTTGCTAACAAACTTGCTACAAGCCTGTTGCTAAAAGTCTTGTTGACAAGTTGTTGGAACAGCGTTGTCACAACTTGTTAACAAGCTTGCTACAAGCCTGTTGCTAAACGTCTTGTTGACGAGTTGTTGGAACAGTATTGTCACAACTTGTTAACAAGCTTGCTACAAGCCTGTTGCTAAAAGTCTTGTTGACAATTTTTTGGAACAGCATTGTTACAACTTGTTAACAAGCTTGCTACAAGCCTGTTGCTAAAAGTCTTGTTCACAAGTTGTTTGGGACAGCATTGTCACAAACTGTTAACAAACTTGCTACAAGCCTGTTGCTAATAGTCTTGTTGACAAGTTGTTGGAACAGTACTGTCACAACTTGCTAACAAGCTTGCTACAAGCCTGTTGCTAAAAGTCTTGTT